CTTAAAAAACGAACTGAAAACATACTTTGATATTCGAATATAATGCTTTTTAAAATTAGATAGTGGGCTGCAATAGCAACTTTGACATTCTGAGCAATTCGAAGAAATAATAAATAATGCTTTTCATCAGATTCAAGCAACAATAAATTTCAAACAAATTACATTTTCGTTACTAAAACGATGCCGGGACTGTGTTCGTGGAAATTGAGGCATTTTTGAGCATTTACTTAAATAAAATCATTAAAATGATGACTAATGTTATTAATTTCTTTATTCGAATAAATAACCGAATGATTAGTGCTTGTGTGTCAAGTAAAAGTGTTTTCAGTTTCAGGTTTTTTTGAAAAACATAAGAGGGTAGTAATTTGCAGAAAATGGAAAGACGAATCCGAAAATATCATAGTTGTTACCGTAAAGCACATATTTAGAAAAATAAGTCACCGGCACCCTTCATCTCCGCCACTGGAGCATATAAATTTAAAAAAAAACCTCAGATTTTGGGCAATATTTACATGTGGCCTCAAATTATTTCACTTACCAGTTTTTAAATTATTTAAGTTTAAGTATAAGTTTAACACCCTGTGTCTTTTTAACGAAGGAAAGACTTCCCTTAAAAATCACCAAAGAATACGAGGTTTCATTTTTGGTCACCATTTGTGAATCAGCTTGTGTATTTATCTCCATTAAAAAATTTGATGAACAGAGAATATATTCATTATTTTTTTATAGGAAGAGACTAAAATAAATTTAAGGTGCCTTAAAAATTACAATTTGCTCCAAAATGGAGATAGAACAATCCAAAAATCAGCCAACGAAGTTTTTTAAAAACAATTCTGATCCTTATGGTGTAGGGGTTCGTTGAATATTATTTTTATTTTATAATGAACAGAGTGGCAAAATAACAAAAAAAAACAAGGGAAAGCAGTGACAGAGAAGAATATTTTCAGAGGATATATTGTCGTTGGACTTCAGATTAATAGCTACTTACGTGATATCTATCTTCCAGAAAGTAACCACAACACCCTCACATAACACACGGAACTAATCGGGTGGAAAACGAGCCTAAGATTCATGCAGACGCCGATCTCACTGGGTAAGCGTGTCGAGGTGGGCACCGCGAACTGTCGCCGAAGAGCGGCTCCTGAGCGTTTCTTGGCCAAACTGAAGACCTGCCAACCTGATGCCCGGTCGCGGATTGCAGAACCTACTCTTCTTCGCGCCAAGGTGGTAGCAGGAGGCGCGGACGGCGAACGGTTTCTCGGTTTCGTGGAGAAAATGCTTTTCCTTCGGGTATTTACTAGAATGTTAAGGTATTTCGTCGACAATGACATAACTTTTTCAAGCTGTCTTTAAATTGCAATTTTTTATACTAGGTTGCTAAATATCCTTTTGTATTCACCACTGAATAGCTCTTTTGGGAGCTTCAGCGGATAAAAAAATAAATTGAGAATGCAAAAGTAACTTCGCAACTGTGTATTTCAAATAATATTCTTTCAGAAACTGTTCGAAAGATTGTTAAATTTATGCGAAATTAATTTGAAACTTACAGTAGAAATGTGTATCGATTAGGTTTTAGTATGGATTAGGTAAATAGTCATAGAAAGTTATAATAGTCCAGACGGTATCTGTTTCAGAAAGTCCATATTTAGGTGAATCGTAATCCACGGAGACTTTTGTCTTTTTTGGCTTTCAAATATCACTAGAAATCAAAATTTTTCTATGCGCATAAAAAAACGTGGGCTTAACTTCTGGCGGCACAATATGTTAAAAATATTCGAAAAATGTCATATTTTTCTTGCTGTTTAATTATGTATCCTTTCAAAAGTTGATTTTAGGCGAAAATGGAAGACGAAAAAAATGTTTGTAATTAAATTTTTTACAAAATATGACTAGTTATAAATCGAATGAATCATGATTATTATTGTAATATCGAAAAAATCGCCAAAATAGGGTTTAAAAAACATTACTTTTTAGGGATTTTTTTTGGGGTATTTAAATTAGGTATAGGACCTTCATACTTGGCTCAAGAAAACTTCATGTTATGTAGAATCATCACACCAAATTTCATCAAAATCGGTTTGATAGATTTTGCATAATAATTTTGCAATTCCAGATTTTGAAAAAAAAATTGCAAATTTTCAAAATTTGGCACAGCAAAAACCAAGGCCCTTAGGTACTCGAAAATATAATCACATGTAGAAGGATTCTCAAGCTTTCAAATGCTTTTTGAAAAATTCGAATCCGTCAATTAGGAGAGCTCTGGCGCTTGTTTAAACATTGGTCGAATTTTTGTACTTATAAACAATTAGAATAACTTTGTGAATATTCAACCAAATCAAATATTTTAAAGCAGGTTTTAAAAGTTCTTGGAAAGGCGCTTCTTTAAAAAAAAAACACAGATCGATTGGTCAATTAATTACGTAGTTATAGCCGATCAAAGTTAACCGTCATTTACAATAAAAGTACTGGGACAATTTTAGAATATTTAAATAAATTTGTTTTTGATCTTTGATAAACAGTATGTAAGTTTATGCACTTACCTTTGATACAATAAAAAAATAAAGTTGATAATTAAAGGAAGTTTAAAGATAAATAATGATCGGACCAATAATTGTTAACGATAGGCATTTGAAAATACGCTAATTGTTTTTTTAAATAGCGAGACATCGATTTAAAAAAATCGGACCTCTAGAAGCTGAGATATTAAAAATTTTTAAGCGCATCGCGGTTTTGAACTCGCCGATTCAATTTCGAGCAGGCCGAAGCGGCCGCGCTCTCTGCTTCCCCCACCACCACCACCCGTACGATTTTCTTGAATTTCTCGCTTGCATAAATAACTTTAAACACGTTTTAAAGTAGGTTGCCAATGAAGAAAAGTATTGCAAACTTAGACCTGGTGACTATATACTCGGAATACCAAAGGTATATTTCGAAAAATTAGCCCGGATTGCAAAATTATTATGCAAAATCTATCAAACCGATTTTGATGAAATTTGGTGTGATGATTCTACATAACATGAAGTTTTCTTGAGCCAAGTATGAAGGTCCTATACCCAATTTAAAGACCCCAAAAAAAATCCTTAAAAAGTAATGTTTTTTAACCCTATTTCCGGCGATTTTTTCGATTTTTACAATAACAATAATAATTCATTCGATTTGTAACGTCATATTTTGTAAAAAATTTAATTACAAACATTTTTTCCTCTTCCATTTTCGCCTATAATCAAGTCTTGAAATGATACATATTTAAATGGGAAGAAAAATATGATATTTTTCGAATTTTTTAAACATATTGTGCCGCCAACAGTTAAGCCCAAAAAGCCAAAAATCTCCGTGGATATACGATTCACCCAAATATGGACTTTGAAACAGATACCGTCTGGACTATGTAGGTAAATCGACAAATACTTACCTAGTATTTTTTTAAATAGCCATTTCGTGCAGTAAGTTGTCCCACTTTATCGTCACGGAAGATACAGGGTGGTCCATTAATAACAGTAAATATCTTAAGGGAAAATTGCTGATGTTTAATTATGATAATTGACTTGAATATATTTTATTCGCATATTGCGAAATTTTCATTCAACAGGGCTGTTAAAATAAAAAAAAAATGTTTTTCGTTCTCTTCCAATATTTTGGGTATCACTGAACTGATTATCTGGAAAATTTGTACATCCATGGTTTTTAATGTGAACATTACGAATATGGTTTGTTACAGTCACTTCTAGGGGACTCTAGTGACACTTTCCTGTCGGTATAAAATATGCCTCACTATTTTTGCCCTTCGAAAATCTGAATTTGCTGCAAAAAGTTGTTTAATCAAGTTCAATTCTCAATAAAAGAGGTAGACTTAGTAAGTTGCTCGTTTTAGAATTACACAACATTAAGATTTTAGATACCATAGGTCAAAATTATATCAAACAACTATTTGTATCGAAGTAGACTGTAGTTGTAGTACGTATATTGACACTGTGTGGTTTGTGTCATTTTGTAACTTTTTTTTAAAGTGCCCCTTCAACGATTTCTCTCAACGAGTTAAAATATCAAGTGTGTTTATACCCAAAAAATTAGTGTGATATACCTACTTGGAACTTGGAATTATATCCAAATAATAGACAACCAAGAGGTTGTACAACAAGTTAGGATAAATATGATCAATTCGTCCAAAGGGAAATGTTGAAAGACTTAACTAAGAGCATACCGAAAAAAGAACGTTTCAATATGAATTGCAGAAAATATAATATCAAGTACATGCCAAATTAAGATTTTAGCTAAGATTTGTTCTGGATTTATACAATCCTCTTATACAGGGTGTATCCTAAGTCTGTGTCATAAATTAAGGGGGTGATTCCTTGGGGTCATTTTAGATCCAAAAGCCTTAATAAACCAGGACCCTAAGGTTACTGGTTTCCATGATAGAAGGTGTTAGTTTTTGAAAAATATCCCATCTTGGAAAAATGTTGTCCCGATTTGAACCTATTTGATTTTTTCTGGAATTATTTTAAATCTCGTTAATAATCTTCAACTTCCAGATTTTCTAAATCCTGAATCAATTTCTTTCCCAAATAATTGAAAACATAGAGCAAAAATTGTATTGAAGCATATGCAAAAAACATGAAAAAAAAAAAAAAAATTTCCGGCCTTAAAAATGACGTGAAAAAATGATAAAGGAGTACTTTCTAACAGGCCTTTAATTTACGTTTTATAGTCCCCTGTACTGTAGTGTATTTAGTGGAAAATTATTTGTTGGTACACATTACTACCACTGATTCAATAATATCTTTTCGCAAATAATTGACAATAACTAGGTCTATGAACTTGTCACAGCCAGCGTAATGACCCATACGAAACACACTTAAAATTTATTTACTCACTCTACATATTTCAAATATTGCGCTACTGTCATCAGACTCTTATTGGCCAAAAGAGTCGATTGATAACGGTTATTGTTATTTGGGAAATCTTCAACACCACTTAAGTCTAATCAGTTATGTGCTACTAAATAGTTAAATAGACGGGCTATCGATCATTGTTGTACGACAGCGCGATGCGTTCTCACAGCAATATGATTACCCTGCAATTGTTGATAAGTGCGTCTCTGCTATTATTAGCAGACTGTTACATAGTTGACCCTGGTCCGACAGTGATAGCCACGAAAGGAGAAGTATGGCCAAAACCCTACAGCCAATACAGCTCTGATAAATTTTACGTTGTCCGACCAGTTCTGTTTGAATTTTCGGTAAGTAGAGATTAGTGTTTGAATGCTCGTTAATAAACTCAGTGTCAAGGTCAGTGCAACTGTTCTGATTGAATAATAATAAGTTTCCAGCTCATTGAAATAACACAGTGATTATAGAAATGATTTACAGTGACAGCTTTGTATAAAACTTTGTTGTCGTAAGTCTGTTACTAAATACTGTCTATTTTAAGACATAAATTTAAAATTTGGAAAAAATTATTGATATAGAACAGTTATTTTCTAATATTTAACACTACTGCATTACTCCGAGCTATTTCAAGATGATAGCAGTTGATTTAAAATAAGGAAGATTAACGTTTAAACAAAGACTTAATAAATATTAAACAATCTCATTCTAATATTACTATTACGTTACACTCTTTTACTATCTAATAATAGGTAACAGGTGTAATCCTTATATAGGGTATTTCTAAAATATAGTTTCAAATTTGGTGGTAAAAGTGGACTGTAATGATTTTTTTTTATTTTAAAAATTGACACATTTTTCGTAACATAATTCGCTTTTCACAAAGAGTGTCCTAAAAGTCACAAAAATTCATGTATTCTTGTGCGATAACCACACACTTTGTTGATACATGAATAATGCAGAATGCTATGGATTTTACTGATAACATAGCCACAGAAAAAGAAATTGTCTGTACTTTTCATGCGACATATGTTGTCCGTAGTATTTTTGCCTCCTGATCACGAATCCGGTCTCAGAATTGAGCTACCACATCTCAGGAATTTCCTAACATCAAAAAAACAGATCAAAATTAGCAGAGATTGACGAAAAAGTGCTAGGAAAAATGCAAAAAAAAATTTTTGCTATATTCAAATGTCCATTTATATGGTAAAGACCCCCCTGAACGTGAATCCGCGGTTAGAATTGATGGTTCTTTTTCTATCCTCAAAAAAACGGGTTAATCAATGTCAGATATCACGAATTTTCAAAAAATAACACATTCGCGCCAAATTTGGTGTAGGGAGGTTTTCGGGGTCGTTGATTACGAATTCGTGGTCAATTTTGCAAAATTCAATTTGGCGGATACAAAATGGCCGACCAAATTTTCACAAAATAACACATTCGTGCCAAATTTGGTGTACGGGGGTTTTCGGGGTCGCTGATTACGAATTCGAGGTCAGAATAGCGAAATTCAAGATGGCGGATCCAAGATGGTAGACCAAATTTTCAAAAAATAACACATTCGTACCAAATTTGGGTTAAGGGGGTTTTCGAGGTCGCTGATCACGAATTCGAGGTCAATTTTGCAAATTTTCAAAAAATAATACATTCGGGCCAAATTTGGTAGAAGGGGATTTTCGAGGCCGCTGATCATGAATTCGAGGTCAATTCAGCAAAATTCAAGATGGCGGATCCAAGATGGCCGACCAAATTTTCAAATAATAACACATACGCGCCAAATCTGGTACACGGGGGTTTTCGGGGTCGCTAATTACAAATTCGAGGTCAGAATTGCGAAATTCATTTTGTAATATTTTTATTTACTTTACTGAGTACGCAATCGTGTTTTAACTTTCTTTTTTTTTGACTACCTATATCTTGTTCTTTTTTCTGTAAAATATCTATTCAGATCTAATCTCGGATTCGTGATCACTGACACCGAAAACCCCAGTATACCAAATTTGGTGCGGATCTGTTATTTTTTGTAAATTCGTTATATCTGACCTTAATTAATCCGTTTTTTTTTTGAGGTTAAAAAAAGAACCATCAGTTCTAACCGCGGATTCACATTCAATAATAATAATAATAATAAGCTTTATTTTCCTCAAAGACAAAAGACATTGTATAGGAATAGTCATACAGCAAGATACCTTAACCTACTTACTACATACTAAACAATAGTTGCAATTTCAACATACATTAATTAGAAAAAAATTCATTCAATGTATAAAATGTACTGTTTACCAGATATCGGTACAGCCTATTTTTAAAGATTGTGAGACTTTGTGCTCTTTTTATATCCAAACACAATTTATTATAAACTTTTAGGCCCAGATAAAAAGGTGAATTTAAAGACACATTATATTTAAAAAAAGGAAGGTGGAAATTTTTATTTTGTCGAGTGTCTCTGTTATGTATATTTTCGTTCAGTATAAAGTTAGAAACATTTTTGAAAACATATACAGCAAGTTCAAAAATAAACAACGACACAACAGTTAAAATATTAAACTTTCTAAAAACATTTCTGCATGACATATGACTGGGAATTCCCGCCATATTCCTTAAAATTCGTTTCTGGACAACAAATACATCCGGTGATAAGGTGGAATTTCCCCAGAGGACAACTCCGTACCGCAATCTTGAACTGACTTGGGCGTTGTATACTGTTATTAACTGTGACAAGGTTAACACAGGTTTTAAACTTCTTATCAGATAGCTGACGGAATTTAGTTTTGATATCAGCTGAGTGCAATGAGACCTCCATGTCAAGCATTCATCGATCGTTATTCCCAAAAATTTTATATCCATCTCCCATTTCAATAAATCTGAGCCATTAAAAGTTACATTAATATTGCAGCAATTTTTTTGTCGGTTATGAAACCTAATTACTTGAGTCTTATTTGTGTTCAGAAAAAGATCATTAGAAGCGTACCACGCACCCACATCTTTCAGTAAAGCATTGGTTTTGAGCCGCAAGGCCTCGTCTGAGTTACCAGAAACCAATAATGATGCATCATCTGCATACATGACGGACGAGGCATCAGAAACAACTTTGTCAAACTCATTTGTATATAGTAAGAAAAGGACAGGGCCCAATATAGACCCCTGAGGAACCCCCATATTAATATCCACCCGCTCAGAACTAACCTGCGACAAAACGTTGTTACCCTAGTAAGCGAGACAGACATATTGTTCACGTTCTTTTAAAAAAGATGCCACCCAATCATTAGCAACCCCTCGTATGCCATAGTTATGAAGTTTTAAAAGCAGCTTCTCATGATTGACACAATCGAAAGCTTTACTAACGTCACAAAATATACCAATGGGGGACTCGCCCACTTCAATATATTGTAACACACTCTGGTAGAAGTCAAGCAAGGCAGTACTAGTCGACTTCCCAGACTGAAAACCGTGCTGATGGTAAGAAAAAATTTTATGTTTTGCAACAAATTTCAATAACCGTTCCAAATAACAATATTCAAACACACTAGAAAAGGCCGGCGGGACTGTATAGGTCTATAATTTTCCATAGATTGTGGATAGTTTTTCTTATAAATAGGAATGACTTTCCCCACTTTTAACATTTTTGGAAAAGAACCTGTTAGAAAGGATAAATTAACGAGGTAAGTGACAGATTCAAGAATACAATCCATAACCTCTTTAACCAAGAACATGGGAATGTCGTCAGATCCAGAGGAATGTTTTCGTTTAAGTTTATATTTTAAAAGAGAAAATATTTCCTCCTTTACAAAAGGTTCCAAAAAAAGTGAACAGATTTTAATATGAAAATCACAGTTAAAGGGTTTACTTGTACGTATATTATTTGTTATATGGATAGGAGCATTTTTGAAATAATTATTAAAACACGATGATATGGTAAAAGGATCTTCACAAGTTTACCATCCAACATAATATTTATCTTATGATGTACTTTATTTTTATTTGAAAGCTCAGATATAATACCCCAAGCAGCCTTGCCTACATTATCAGAGTTTATAATTTTATTTTGGTAATATTCTTTTTTAGTTTTCTCAATTAACTGCATGTGAGCTTTTCTAGAAGTCTTATATTTTTCAAAATTTTTGGGGTTATCAAATTTAAGAGTATACAACTCTTTCAATTTTACACTGGATAGTTTAACCTCGTCCGTCACCCACTTCTTATTGGTTGTAGTACATTTATTATAGAATTTTTTTAGTGGGAAATGTTTATTAAAATAAAATATGAACACATCAAAAAAGGTGCTAAATGCTTTGTCAATAGTAGGCACGTGATACAATTCTGACCACAACTCTTTTTGCAGATCAAAACGAAAATTTTTTATAGCATGTTCAGAAAAACTCCTTCTGAACTGGGAGGTACGTACAGCGTTACAATTCTGGCTACTGGAGGACTCAAATAACACAGTTCTATGATCTGATATAACATTGTCCAAAACACACACTAAATTATTTTCGATGTTAGTGAATATATGATCGATAATGGTTGAAGAAGTGTTAGTTACACGGGTAGGCCACCTTACCACCGCAAACAAATTAAAATTACTGAGGACACTGCACACTTTATTAAAATCATTAATAGTCCTAGAGCCCAGAGTAGAATCCAAATTAAAGTCACCAGTTAAAATTATACTTATGCCAGGCTTATACAAATAGTCCATAACAGCAAACACTCTGTCAATAAATAAATTTATATCACCACTAGGTGATCTATAGCAGGACATGATAAGCACAGTGGATAGGTCTGTCTTCCACGAGGTGCAGCATATTTCAAAATGTCTGTCAATACAGAATTGGCTTAAATTGATAGAATGAGCATTCAAACTACTTCGTGAATATATGGCAACACCACCTTTTTCAAATGTATTTCTACAGTAATAACTACTTAAAGAAAAGTCACTGATATATTTAGCTTTGATTGACTCATTGTTACAATGAGTCTCTGAAAAACACAAAAATTTTATTTGATAAAAGTTTGAGATATCAATTTCTAAAGAATTAATCGATTGTGCATTCAAACTCTGAACATTTAATACAAGGACATCAGGGTTAAATATCATTTTATGGATTTCATTGGTGCTACTTTTTGAAAAAACTTACTTATACAAGCGCCGTCTGGCCATATGCTTGGTTGCATAGCTTTTTTAAAGTTTGTCTCATAAACAGACACTTTGAAGGAAGAGTACAAATTGGGGTGTTTGGGTTTTATAACTTCACAAATCACTTCTGGAAACGACACTTCAAGTAGTTGGCACAAATCACTGGGCGAAGTTTGGTTATTTATTCGGCTTACGTGAATATGAACCATTTTTTTG